AGTTGAAGATAAACATGATCAATTTTGGTGAAAATTTAATATCAAGCTTAAAATTGGTTCAAAGTTTGACTAAGCGACATGGACCTAATTGAATTAAACGTTAAAACAATCAATTTGAAGCCTTTTCAAGTAACACATGTCGTATCGTATGATAAAATTATAATATATACATTCATACTAAATTAAGATGTTATTTTAAGTTTCTGAGTAGAGCATAACAAGTGTCAGCAGAACATAGTAGAATATTAATACTCAGCAGAGTAGAGCTCAACAGAGCAAAGCAAATTATAGTAGAGCAGACCATAGCAGTTCAAAATAACATGGCCTAATATTAAATCTACCCAAAAATTATGAGTCATCTGTCTTTTATAATTTTTGTTCAATGACAGAGACACAGCTTATACTTTTATGAACCATATTAACTAATACATTTTGAAATAATAACAATGTGCTTATATAACCAGTCTTCTAAAAAAGAATATTGTTTGATTAATTAGTTTCACATTACAAATAAATCATAGAACATAATTATGGTTGTTTAATTCAAAAATTGTCACTACCATAATATGTTATTTTGTTTAAGGGGTACGTGACTTATCAGATCAACCAATAATCATTTAAATATCTTTAGAAAATCCTTAACGAATTACATATACATATGTACTGTATTTCATAAAAATATGAGTATATATGTTAGACAATATAAAACTCCTTAATTAGTGTGATTTTTATTGATTAATATTATAAGAAATAATATTTTACTAATATACTCTATCATATAGGAGTTACACCATCCGTTATGTAAAACATAATTTAAAATTTTAAGAGAATCTCTCATATGTATTTTATGCGAAATTAAATAAGTTGTAACCACGAAGTAACAAATTTTCTTAGGTTATAAATAGTACTTCATCCGTTTTCTCTTCGATGCAATACATCCTTTAGCGCGGTAATTAAAAAAGGTGGGGTTTACATGATATAATAAGAAAGGTGGAGTTTACATGATATAATAAACTTTAAAATAGGATGCGTGGTTGTTAGGAGTATAATTTAGTGGGCCATGTGCTTTAAATAAGGGAAATAATATAGTTTTTCCCTAAAATAACTTTCCTCTTTCCTTTTATAGTGTGTTGCAAGTATTGTGACATTTTCTTTTTAGGGAAGTGTTGCAAGTAAAAGAAAACGGAGGAAGTATTAGACAATAACTATTATTGAAATCACCAGTATTAGGCTATTAGCTACATACGATTTAGTCAAACTTACGAGATTATGTATTTTTCTTAAGTTATGACAAAAGACAAAAAAAATTTGTTTGCTTTTGCATGGGAAAGTAAACTCATGTATACGTATTAAGTTTCAGTTTCAAAGTCAAGATAAATCATTGTCATACGAATTTCTAATTGTATTAATAAAATTAATTTGGTCGTTGATCGATTCTAATAATTTGCTTGTATCAAACAACATTGAAGACATTTTCTTTCTTTAATTTTCATCAATATCTATATTATATGTCAAGTATCAATTTCAGATTATGAAATATTTAAGGATCAATTTGAAGGAAGAGATAACAGATTGAATCCTTTAATCACTTAGCATAAGTAAGTCTCATGAGATATATAAAATCTTTTTACAACAAAATTGCTACAAAAGTAAATGTAAGTATGTATCCATATGGGTGATCTCGTCATGTAGGTCATCTCGAGTCTTAATAATCCTATATTCCTAATCAAATACTAATTAAAGTCAATATTTTTTACTTAGAATAATGATTTAATATACTTAAGTAGTTAAGTTTATATTCGATTTCAAAGACATTAAACAAGAATAAAGCATTATATAGATCAATAATTCAATGAAGAGAGTTTATGAAAATTACCAAATCCCTTCGTAATGTAACTATTTTGATAGGAAGGTTTATAATTCATATATTGTATTTTGTTAAATTGTGAGTCGAATCTAGTAGAGCTAGCTTTGAATGCGGATATCTCTCAAAGTACAAGTTATTTTGAGGTGATTTGAGTTGGAAGTGATCAATAACGTGTTTCAAAAGCATTCTAACAATAAGTTATATGCCCAATTCCGATAAGAAACGAAAAAGTTAAAGATGTATTACGAAAAGATGACAAAGCTGGAAAATTGCGACGAGTAGGTGAGTTATAGGCTTATAGCTAAGCGAGTGAGCTATAGCTCGACCTTATGAAGACTTGTGGCACACTTGAGCTAGCTGCATCATTTCGATTCTTGTGAGATCACTTATGAAATATTTCCTAAAATTATTTTTTCTATGACAATTTGCTATTTGAATATACTTGGAGAACAATTTAAAAGGACCTTTTAGTTGATCAATTAGATCATACCTTTTGAGCTCTTTGTATATTCTCTCGTTCTTTCCTAAAGTATAATTTGACCGAATCAAGTAAATCTTTTTGTTCTTTGTTTATTTCCTTTATTACTCTCCTCGTTCTTACTTTTCATTAACTTATTTCACATTAATCGAATGCAATTACTCCCTTTATTTCCTAACACATATCATTCACAAAGTATAACAGTAAGTTAAGATATCACAACTTCAATTAAAATTGGATAGTTGAATAATTGAATGGATGAGGAATTTATTACGGAGTAGGTACTACGACAAGTAGTGTGGTACAGAGCACAGAGTAAAAGTATCCTCTGCGAAAAATGAGGATGCTATTGCATGCAGAGTATGCATCCGTACGTGTTGCAAAATCATGGATCCTTGTATTGGCAATGGATATGTACGTACATCATCTACACGACCCCCAACAATCCCAAGTCCCAAGGAGCTAGCTGGATACATAATAGATTTATACATACATCATACATGGATCAAATGGATACTACTCCGTACTTCCGTAGCTAGCAAAAGCCGTCTATAGAATTGAGGTTGAGATGGTAGAGTAGTGACGTTACTTTTAATACGGAGTATTATATTTTCGTGATTTTAGGATCGAATTTCTTAGAACTTATATAAAGAATTTTACTTAATGAGTGAATCCTCGTATCTTAATCAATACAGTAAGAGAAATTAGAAAAAAAAAAAAAAAACGTACATAAAATACAAATTTATACATACCCACAATTTTTTGAAATTTCTTGGACTAAAGTTTCTGACTTGATCCCACATAAGTACATAAGAAATTCATTGGTTTCATATAGTTTAACAAGTATAATGAAGGAGCCTTAAAATTTCATGTAGTCACTAAATATGACTTTAAAATGCACCGATAAGTATTTTTTACCTTATTTATTTGTGTCAAAAAAATCAAAAGATATTAGTATATTACTCGAGTTTATAATAAAGTTCTCAAAAGTTTCATTAACAAATTTAAGCCTTGTTTAATTTATTTAAATTTTAAGAAAAAAAAAATTGAATTCAATTAAATTGAAATAATTTCGGATGAAATATGAAAATTTTAGATAATTAAAAAATTAGGTGATATAATTAACACAAATTCTTATATGTGAGCCAATGGCCCAATGTGGCTGGCAACATGATGTGACCAACCATCATTGAGGGGTTGCTTTGTTATAGGAGTTATTCGATCAGTATTACAAAGGTTACTTGGTCCATGTTTTCGGGGTTGCTTTGTTTATTAGGGGTCACACGGTGTGGCCAGCCGCATACAAAACGCGCCGATTAATTGAATTAGATTGCTAACTTATATACTCTCTCGGTCTCATAATACAATGTCTCTTTGAGTTTTTATGCGGGAATTCAGAAAGATGTAAATTTATTTAAATTAATGATTAGAAGTACATATGTGCATGGAAGGTTAGAGAGAGAAAGAGAAAGCGTTAGAAATTGATGTTAAAAGTACAAAACAAGAAAATGAAAAAAAAATGACAACTCATAAAAAAAAGGGTAATAATGTCAAACAGTACAACTTTTACGTAGAAAGAGACATTGTACTTAATTTAACCAAAAGGAAACGTGGCATTATATTACGAGACGAAGGGAATATTACTTAAAATATTTTCAAATTAAGTGTAGAATGCAGAACAATATTACACGTTGATCGACTTAATTAATACTCATATTAATTTTACATCAATATATTTATTACTTTTAGCTCATTAATTTTACATTATTTTTTTTAACTCTCTTATTTAACATCTAAAGATGGTTGTTACTCAGCTTTTACCATCAAGAGTTTGTTCTATTTAGCTTAATTTCAATCACAAACTTTTAAATAAGACGGATGTTCAGTAAATTACTTAACATCCATTATAAAGTGACAATAAAATGTGCAAAAATTACACTTAAATGCACAAAAGTTACCCTGACATATATAAGTGTTATTTATGCTTCATTGATAAATTTGACAAAAGTGACACTAAAGCTGACAAAAGTGTACCCGATGTACAGTAAATTACTGAAAACGGGTGTATACAAAAGTTTTTCAATTTCAATTTAGTTCAGTTCAAATCAGTTCATTTCAATTCAGTTCAGTTCATAATTTTCCTTTTTCATAAACAGTTCAATTCATTTTAACTCCAATCAGTTTAATTCAGTAAATTAAAAAAGGTCCTAAATAAAAAAATAAAAACAAAAAACAAATTTTCACTTAAGAGTCTTTTACAACCTTCATTTTCCTTATCCAAAAAGAACTTTACGCACACTACTCAACTAAGAACCATCCAAGAAGCCAGCAGCCCACAATAATTTTTTTTTTTTTAAAAAAAACCTAAAACAGAAATGACTGCACAACTGCCAAAAAAAATAGCATATTAAAATTTCCAAAAAAATCACAATGTGACAAATACAATCAACGGCCAGATTCTATCAGCTGCCGCAATGAAAGAATTTTTCAAATAAAAAATCAACGGTTCAGATCTTATTCCATATTTTCTCTCTCCTCTTTCTTCTCAAAAGACGTTACACGAGGATGCTTCCTTTCTCCTTCTAGACGTATGACCTCTCCAAGAAACTCACCCTTTATTTTCTCCTCTATATATACCCAATTTTTCCACTCTAATTTTCCACTCAATTTTATCATCTCTTTATTTTTTTCTTTTTGCTTTCATTCTATCTTATCAATCATCTTTTTCTCCAGTTTTAATTTTATTCAACGCTAATTAATTAAAATTAAGCTCTGAGTGTTCAAAAATGGCGTCATCTGATCAATCATCGGCTGCTTTAGATTTTATCAAGAGTCATTTATTCAGTGAACTTTCTCCGATTGGTGTTAATTTCAGCTTTAATCACAATAATTTTGCTAATTCTGAGTTTAATTTTGGGAATAATAATTGTGATTTTAATGGTGTTAAACATGATCAATTATCAATTTCTAAAACTAATTCTCTTTCCTCACAAAATTCAATCTCCTCAATAAATTCTTTTTCATCGGAAGCTTTTGTTGGACAACAGCAGATGAATTCTGGCTTGATTAAGGAAGAGAAGTCATCTGATTTTGGTTTTGATTTCGATTTTGATGTTGATTTCTCGAAATTTGAGACCAAGGAGAAGGAGATGTCGACACCTTCGCCGACTTTTTCCGGCGGATCTAAGTCCAAGTTTAGGGAAAAGAGGCCGGCGATGAATATCGCCGTTCCGGCGCCGGCGAAGAAGTTTGAGGTGGTCGAGTTTGTGCCTGAGATGACTCAGCAAGCGAGTGATGTGGTGACTCAGCAGAAGGTTGAGAAGGAGGAAGCTCAAAGGCACTACAGAGGAGTGAGGAGAAGGCCTTGGGGTAAGTACGCGGCCGAGATTCGTGACCCGAACAAGCGCGGGTCACGAGTCTGGCTTGGTACTTACGACACCGCTATTGAAGCGGCCCGAGCTTATGATCGGGCTGCTTTCAAGCTACGTGGCTCGAAAGCGATCCTCAACTTCCCGCTTGAAGTCGGGAAGTTGGTTGAGGAGGCTGCAACCACAACCACTACTACCGCCGTTTCATGCGGCGGAGGTAGTGGTGGAAGGAAAAGAAAGGATGTGGAAGAGAGTAAAAATAAAGAGGTGGTACAAGTTAAAAAGGTTAAAAGTGAAGAGACCTCAACGACGTCGTTTGTAACCGAAGACTCATTTCCGTTGACTCCGTCAAGTTGGACAGCGTTTTGGGATTTAGACGTGAAGACGGGAAACGGATTGTTTACCGTACCTCCGTTGTCTCCGTTATCTCCCCATCCGTCAATGGGATATTCACAAATGACAGTGATGTAAAAGAGATTACGAGTACTACATATACGTATTGATTATCATTAATTATGGTTATAACGGAGTATTCTCAGATTTTCGGTTTAATTTAAACTGTCTGATAGAAGAAAAAAAAAATGCTAGTACTTATATTAGTGTAATTTCAATGTTGTAATAGTCGACCGTTCAAGGGTGCTGTGTGTAAATAGTGAACTCGCGGCCTAGTAGTTTTGAATTTCACAATTGTTTCATTAAGTTTATTAATTTATTTTTAAATTTCATTTGATTTATTCAATCGAAAGCAAGTTATGATTTCAAAGTTGTAGGGAATGCAAATTAATTATGTCCGAATATATTAATCAAAGCTTGTTTTAATGTGAAGTGGTTGTATAATAAGTCTACTTTTGTGATCGTGCAAGTTGATGAATAAGATGGTAATCAACTTGCGTGGGAGCAAGATTAAACAAATTGATGAAAGCAAAAGGTAAAGACAATAAATGAGTTAAGTTATACGATAAGAACAACAATATGATATCTTAATCCATGATTAATGATAATTATACTCCATAGTGGCAATTGTTTATTGTAATTATTCGTCAAATAAACAAAAAAATTTATTTATTGTAATTAGCTTTCTTGATTAGTTTATGTGTGTAGGACATGTTTATTTTGTCATATGTTTACTTATTAATGTTAGATGCATGTATATGATTATTAATTACTTGTATAATGATAGCGAGTCAATAAGGATTCTAAACTTGCCCCTGTCTAGTCTATATTTATTGTTTATTTTTATTGTATAAAATCAGTCATATACATATATACTCATATGTCAATTACAATATAAAGTAGATTCAATCTTTCCAATCATGTAATGGTGGCTAGCTAATTACATTGTACAACATTAGAGTATGGCTAAATATAAAATAAACACGATTACTTTCTTTCCTTTATATTTATTTGCTAATAATCTTTAGGCATAGTTATCTATTAAGAGCCTGTTCTCATTGATTGAAATCAACTGAAGTGAACCGAGCTGAACTGAACTTAGTAATTAGTGATTTTTAACTACGGATTAATGATCTTTGATTATTTATTACTATACATATGTGTATATACATATGTACATATTAAAATATTTATGAAAAATATACTTTATAATTATAATATTTATGGAAAATATATTATAAACATGAAACCCCAAAACATTTTAAACACATATACTATATAATTTAAAAATAAAATAGTATTATGACAAAAGAACACAAAACACGTTGTTGTTTGAATATTTAAAAAAAAATTAAAAAAAATTACGTTTTCAGTTGCAAATAATCGTTGCTTGTTGTACTCTACACAATTTTATTCGTTTACATGAATTAGGGATTCCATTCACGCACCAAGTTGAAGTCACACTACTAGAAAACAGCCTAATTCCGATAGATTCGTTCCGACGGACGTATAATTCCGTCGTAAATTTTGAAATTTCCGACGGAATTTAAATCCGTCGAAAAATATGTATTTAACGACGGAATTTTTCGTCGTAATTTCGAAATTTCCGACGGAATTTAAATTCGTCGGAGATTTCCGACCGAAAATTCCGTCGGAAGACAATTTTTTTTTAAAGCCCTTTATTTTATAAACCCTAGCCGACACTCTTACCCTTTTATTCCATCTGTTCTCTCTCCTCTACTATGAGCCTCTTTCTCTCTCCTCTCCTCTCTTCTTCTCTAGTAATCTCCTCTACTTGTTCTACCCTCTCCTCATTTCTATCTCCTCCTTCTCTTTCTATCTCCTTATTTATCTTCTCTTTTTCTGTTTTTTTTTTTCGGCGATTGATGTGGTGGCGAGTGGTGTGGCGGTAACGCGGTGGTGCTTCTCAAATATTTCAGAAATTAATGGTTTTTTTTGGAAATTTCCGACGGACTTTTCTGTACCTTGAAAACCGATGCTAAAATCCGTTGGAATTTCCGTCGGAAAAGTGTTTCCGACAGAAATTCTGTCGAAAAAGGTCGATTTTTCGAAAAATACTATTATCGACGACACGTTCCGACGGAAACACCATTTCCGACGGAAAATAGGGTGTTTCCGACGGAATTTTTCCGTCGTAATTAAGCTGTTTTCTTGTAGTGTCATGGAACGAAGAGAAGATCATACTATATACGATCCTAACAGAAAAGCAGCTATGGATTTTGTACGACAAGAAATAACTAATCAGATATGGGAGTCAGTTCGGAGGAATGTCGAGGTAATGGAGGAGCTTGGTGGACAAAAAGGAGACGAAGAACTAACCGATTATGAAAATTAGTTTAAGTTGTGTAGTACTCTAATTTTCTCAATGAGTTTAACAGTAGAAATGTGTATCAAAAAAATAGAACCATTTGAACAATGAATTGTATCAATATTATTATTATTATTATTATTATTATTATTATTATTATTATTATTATTATTAATATTATTATTATTATTATTATTATTATTATAAGAGCATAAAAGAATGAAATTATTATCGTCGTTGTAATAAGAGCTTAAAAGAATGAAATTTGGCTTTATATCATTAGCAATATCATTAGACATAAACTGAACTGAACTGAACTGAGCTGAACTGAACTGATTTCAACGTATAAGAACATGTCCTAACTCAATACAACTCTTAAATTAAAAATTTATTAATGTGAAAGTAGATTTATTGGACAATTTGTTAGATTTCGGGAAAACTCCTTAAATTGGAATGTGTACCATTTTAGCGTTTACAATATTAATCATAATCACGTTAGAAAACCTAATACGATAAGGATAAAAAAACATACATAAATTCTATCTTAATTTGCAACTAATATTATGATACATATAACATTTATCACACGCACCCTCGCATTTGTAGTGAGAGGAGGTCGCACACTCGTATGCTAAGATTAGATCTATAATGCAAAATTAAGTCCCATGGGAAAGCCTTTTGTAAAAATATCCGCAAATTAAAATCTAGTTGGAAAACGTGACCTAATATAACATTTTCTCGAACAAGTAACACTACTGGGCTCCAGCTATAAAATGATCAACAATACTAGTATGAAGTACATACATAGAAATTAAACATACAACTCATTTTGATTAAGATGATGCAAATATACACTGATAAAAGAGTCAAAGAACTCTACTATAGCAATTACAGAGTATAATTCGGCCCTGTTCTTTCGAGCTTCTGGGCAAAACAGAGCAGATTTCAGCAGAGCAGAGCAAATTTTATTATTATTATTATAGTAGTATTAGGGTAGAGCAGAGCAGATTGAAGCAGAGCAGCTCTAAAGAACGGGATCTTCCTATATTATAAGCCCCACGTATTTGAGGATCACATTGTCCATACCCACTTATAAGGTAAGTGTTATGATAATAAGACGTTTTTATTTTGAAGAACAAATAAATGATGTGAAGAAAGGTATTTAAAAATTTTGTTACAAAACAATTTAAATCCGTAGACTTAATAATCGTAATTACCAGAACATATGAGAAATGTGCCGGGGAGGGTTGAACGGTTGAATATAGCCATAATGTCAAAGTCAATAGCAGGATTTTTAAAAAAAAAAATCATTGGTCAGACCACGTCGTATGGAACTATGGATCCCAATCATCTCATCATACTTATATCCCCCAACTTTTCTTATGTTATTTGACTTTTATATCTCCAGACATTGACCAACTATTACTGTAGGAGATAGTTTTGGGCCTTTTAGCTAACATCCAACTACAAGCCTACAATTCCTTCAAAAAATAAAAAAAACTACAAGCCTGCAACTCTTCGGTATTTTCAAGCAAGGTGATGCAACCTATTATATTACAGTACTCACAATGATATTCGAATTAATATGATAGAGCGGTTCAGGAGTTTGTTTTATACTCTATCATAATAAATACTTTCTTTATTTTTTTTATTTGACCTATAATATTTACGTAGTATTAAATTGTCAATGCATAGCTTTAAGTCTTTAATCGTCAATAACTTCAATTTTCAATAAGTAAAAATTATACTCTCTTTGTTTTTTATAAGCTAGAGTCAAAATTGCTTATTTGGGGAGACACAACTTTGACTATTAATAGTTTTAATAGAGATTAGTAAAAATTAGGAAAAAAATTAATTTATAAAAGTACACATTATGACAAATCCAACAACATATTATATATTATTCTTCCTTACTTTGTTTTTAAATAACTGTTCTATTTCTCCATACGCAAAGTCTTTGGGGAAATTGGAGAAATTGATTAAATATGGAAATAGTGGGACTGGTGGAAGAATAAAATATTGAAAAAATCAAAAATAGTGAAGATAATTGGAGGAGAGAGAATATAAAATTAATAAACTACGATTTATGTAGCGTCCATTAGGTGAGTGAAATTAATTAAATATTGTAAAAACTTTCCAAATAAGAAAATTGAGCAAGTATTTAAAAACGGCTGAAAATGAAAAGTGAAACAAATATTTTCAAACGGAGGGAATATATTGGTAAAAAAAATTAAGTTATTGATGACATATAAATAGTGAAAAATCTAAACTCTAGCTTATTAAAAAAACGGAGGGAGTCCTTTTTTTTTTTTTTTAAATGCATCAGTTTGACCTGCACATTTGTCAAAAATTAACTTTGATCATTAAACTTTCATCGCAAATTAGTAAAAAGTATACATTGTGACGAATCTAATAATATATTATATAATAACATTTATTTATTTAATAATAGCAAAAAAATTAAGTTAGACATGACATGTATACAATATAAAAGTCAAAATGATGCATTTAAAAAAGACAAAAGGTGTAAATAAATAAATAAATACTTTGTAATATTATAATAGTATTTTTAAGGTTTTGTTTTAAAAATTAATATTATAACAATGCTTCGTATTATACCATTATAAATTTATAAAAAATTATCAGTTGTTTTGGTTATGGGTTAATTGACCTATTTGAATAAGATAATCCTAAAAGGTGGTATTGTTGTCAGATTTTTGTAACGTTTGGGCTAATTTGAGAAGTCTTGCAAAATGTTTGATTATTTTTGTAATTTTTTTTGTAATAATAAAGGAAAATTTACAAATTGCAACCATTTAAAATTTGTATTTTGCAAATTGCAACCATTAAAAAAAAATTGCAAATTGCAGCATGAAAGTTCTTATAAATTATAAATTGCAGCTTGATTTAACTTTTTCATCGGTTTACGTGTTGAAAATTACCCGGTCAAGGTTTAA